AATCCCTGCTTCAAAAGAGCTTACTAGAGAGCTCTGCAGTATGTTCTTGCAACTTAGAGGCCTAGAAGACTCATGTCTGAGGAAGTCCAAGAATACTGTGAGCGAGGGTCCAATTCCCCCACTCATCTCCCCAGGAAAATCTAGAGGGACCAGGGAGATGGCTGCAAAGAGGAGGGCTGCTCTTTCTGCACTGCCAAGGAGTCAGGGCTCTCTCCTACACTCCCAAGGAGTCGGGGCAAGAGGCAGCTGAGCACTTCCCATATACAGATGTGAGAACCTGAGGAATCTCAGGTCCTCCTAATAAAGTAGTAAGAGGGACAAAGAGACCTCAGCAGGAAGAAGCGAGTACGTTCTACAAGAAGCGAGTATGTTCTGCCAGGAGCGGGAAACTGTCCCACGTGACTGCAGCTCAGAGACACAGCTTCCTGGGGAGGGACACTATGATAGCCAGCAGGGAAACCCCAAATGCCATGAAAATGCACCAGAGAAGAAAAAGTATTCTTTATTCATCTGCTAGGCCCGCTCAAGGATGCCAGCTCTAACCATCAGCCTGGTTCAGAGGACATGAAGTCACAATCCAAGGAAAAAATGTTTCAGCTCCCTAATTCTCCCCACTCTCCTCATGGCAACTTTCACTGGTTCCAAGGCAGCTTGTGAGAGAAGGAGAAAGGGAATGAGAGAAGTGTAAAAAGCAGAGACCACAGCCCCTTCTCTTGTGTTCCCTATTCCCTTGCAGCACAGACGAGTCCAAACTGGAGACAAAAAAAAAAATTACACGAGGCACTTTCAGAGTCGGGATTCTATTGTACATGCGGCCAATATTCCATCGACTAAGTTTGAAATTGGTTTGTAATTGAAAGTGACCATAAAATTGTCCATTCCCAGGCCTCCCTGGTGGCACAAGGAGTTAAGATGCAACCTATGAAGCTAACTGCAGCCACTGCAGCTCAAGTTTGTTCCCCAGCCAGGGAGCTACCCACATGGCACAGCAGACCTCTCCTGACTCTCCCGCTGCTCCCCTCAGCAGTGTATTTCAGTGGATCTGCCTGTTCTGTTCCCCACTCTGTCTCTGGTGAATCCTCTTCACCAGCCGCACCTCTGGCCTGTACCCCCGTTCTTGTATGCATAAATAAATAAAAATCTTCAAAAAAAAAATTGTCCATTCCCTAAGAGTGAGCACAAAAGCTGGAGCTCTTGTTAGACTGTCATGGTTGTTAGTTAAGGGATGGTGAATATTAATATGTTGGGTCAGAGTTTACCATGATGTTGATTTTTATTGCTCTGCTCATGACACTTCCATGTCTGAATCTCACCACACTCTTCTATCCACAGCCTCTTTTTTCAAAACCTGTCTCATTACATGTCCTTCAAGAAGTCTTCCTGAATGATACTACCCATCTCTGATTATTCCTTTATTCCAAATCTTCTGCAAGGTTGGTAATATAATTTGGATTCACATTTTTCTATTAAGATCGTACCACCTATATAAGTGACCGAGGACAAGCTCTTTAACTCTGTGTTTTAGTATCCACTTATTAAAATAGCTTTAATTCCAACCTATGAGGCTATTCTGTAAAGCAAATGAGATCTCCTCATGGGGATGAGGAGAGGAACAGGAGCTGCCTATAAGGGTGAAGGTACCAGGACTTCTGATTACGCAGAACCCAGTCCTTTGAGACAGGCCAACCCCATAACCTCCAGATTTCATCAAGGTATGCTATTATTCATATTCCTGAAGAAAAAACAGTATTTCAGTAGGCTATTTTTTTCTTTCTCTATATGTGCCTATATTTACTAAAACTTCTCCTTAGAAAGTCACCTAAAGCATAAGTAGCTCCCTCCTCTAACTACCCTTATCCTCATCAAGGAGACACCAACCCCTCCTTTATGAGACACATCTTTCAAGAAAAAATTTAAAATGTAGGTCCTATTTTTTTTTAATCACTAAAGTAATAGTTTCCAACAGTAATGGATTTTTTGGCTACAAATAATTCATTCATTTGTGACTACTAAATTTTTATTTCAGAAAATTGTTGATGTAGCTAAATCCTTGCATGTCTCATATGGCTTAAAACAGTATTTCACTGGTTTAAGTTTATAGCTATTACTTCCAGAAATGTGTCCACATTAATTAAATGAAATACATATATACGAGAGAGAGAGCGAGAGAGAGAGAAAGAAAGAAAGAAAGAAAGAAAGAGAGAGAGAGAGAGAGAGAGAGAGAGAGAGAGAGAGAGAGAGAGAGAAGAAAGAAAGAAAGAAAGAAAGAAAGAAAGAAAGAAAGAAAGAAAGAAAGAAAGAAAGAAAGAAAGAAAGAAAGAAAGAAAGAAAGAAAGAAAGAAAGAAAGAAAGAAAAGAAAAGAAATCTACAAAGATACCAAACAAAATCAAAAACTTAAAAAAACTTCAAGGTCACATAATCCTTGAAATTCCATTTTCCTTAATTAGGCCACCTTTTGATACCTGAATCATTTATCCTGCCTTTTCTTTTTCAATCCTGCTGCACCAATGTCACATCTGCAGTTTTAAGTGACCTACTTAATTAGAATTTGGAACCATCAGACAGGAAAGTGTATTGTCTTCATTCTATTTTAATCAACAGACCTTATTAGTGAACTGAATTTCTAATTTGGTTGTTCAAGGCATGCACCTTAAGCAATTCCAAAATTCAAACATCCCGGTTTAATTATACTCATGAGTATAATATTCATATATGAGTACAGTCGAGGCATCGGCTCACGTCTCCACTCACGGGTGTACATCCAAATATGGAAGAGGCGAAAAGGAGCTGGATTTAGTATCAGACACCGTGGTTCTCCAACTAACACTGCTGCTAACGTCTCTGTATTCCTGGCACATCCCAAACCTTGCTGAGCCTGGGGCTTCTCACCTTTACAAATAGGAGGTTGGACTGCTCAAGTCCTTTATGGCTATAAATCTCTATGAATATTTCCTGAGCACCTACCATGTGAAGAGCACTGTGGTAGTTGGGGGGTGAGAGATACAAAGATGAACTGTGATTCTGCCCTGTCTTCGAGAACTTAATGCTCTATAAGAAAGACAAGATCATACACAACAAAACCAAATGCCATAATTGCCTTATTTTCGTTTTTCTTCATGACTGGCACTGTGCCTAGCATTTAGTAGGTGTTGAATTAAATGGCATTAAAGAGCTATAAAATACTCCACAAACATTTAGAGAACAGAAGCTACCTCTGGTGGAAGGGGACCAGGGATGCAGAGGTGTTACATTTGAGTTGGTTTTTATTTTTTATTTTTTTAAAGATATATTTATTTATTTATACAAGCACTAGGTACAGTCAGAAGCGCGGGAGGGTGAGAGAATTCACCAGAGCCAGAGTGGGGAGCACAGCAGGCAGAAGGACCGAAGTACACTGCTGAGGGAAGCAGTGGGCGGCAGGAGAGGTCTGCACGCCATGTGGGACCCTCCTCCGGTGGCCAGGGAGCAGCCGGGGATTGAACCGGCGCTGCAAAGGCTGCGGGGCAGCTTTGCAACCCAGCGCTCAACCGCTGCGCCACAGGGGAGGCCCCTGAGTTGGTTTTTAAAAGGCCTTTCAACAATCAGGGGATCATCATCCTCCGATTTGATGCAAAATATTAAGCCAATGTTCAAGGTTGCCCATGCTCTGGAATCAATACATCCCTCTATTCTTATCTCTCTCTTACACAAAATTGTGCTATAATCTTGCTTTACCTCAGACATTACCCATAATTTTATACTTCCTTGAGCCCATTCATACTGTTCTTCATAATGAAATGTCCCTCAATCACAACATAATTCCACTGTCCTTCAAGGCCCACTTCAAATTTCTCCTCTCTTATAAAGAAAGTCTTTGAAGTCTTTTTTGATCCTTCATATGGGTTCTCACTCTTTGAAATTCCACAAGATTTGTGGACATTTCTCTCTTGGCGTGTGTGTGTATGTGTGTGTGTGTATGCTCTTCATCTTTTCCTTTTTATTATACTTGGGTAATATCTTTATTTCAGAATAATCATCCCCTTCATTCATATTGCCAAACAAATGGTAGGAATTCGACAGACTATTCTGACAACACAATTACAAAAAAGGCACTGTAGGATATAGAAACTGAATGAACAATGGTGCTAAGTTAGGAATATTTGTGGCTTATGCCTAAAACAGTGGCATTTCCAATGGGAACTTTATTCACACTTTAGTTGAAATACTCACAGGCTTTAAGTTTAGAAGTCAGGTTGGAGTCATATTACACAGAGCCCTGAAGGGCAGGATAATAAAAACAGGGCACATTCAGTTCATTCAGTTCCCAGTGGGAGTCACTGATGGCTTTAGAAACTGGAAGGTAACAAAATCTGATATTTGAACACCAACAAGAAATATTCTGGTTGACTCATCAGTCTGGTAGGAATATGGTTGAAGGCAAGTCATCCCTGTGAGAAGAATCAAGTCTTCATGTGCTGATAAAGTTAAGTGTGTGAACCTGTAAGTCCTGAAAAAGTCACCAAGTTAAAAACTGCTTTGTAGGCTTCCTGACAACCGATATTTGAGTGCTCACATCAATAAAATGAAACAGTCCCAACCTAGAGCAACCATTACTGAATTTCCAAGCTGTTTTCCAGGTAAGGGAGAGGGAGACAGAAATCACATGACACACAAAAGATGGGGAATCAAAAAATTGATGTGAATTCCTCATCAGTAACACTAAAAGCTAAAGGACAAAGGGAAAATAGCTTGAACATTCTAAAATAAAAGAATTTCCAACCTCAGATTCTATGCTGAGCCAAACCATCAAAGAACGCAAGGGTGAAATAAACACATTTCCATGCCCATAAGGTCTCTAAACATATAACTAGCATGAATCTTTTTCAGAACACACCAAAATGAAGACATAAACCAAGAAAGAGGAAGATGATTTCTCTGCCAATTTTTCCTTAGGAGATAAAGAAGGAGCTCAGATTTACAGAGCTAAGTAAGATGTCAGCAAATAAAGAGAAATGCTTACCATAGAAGAGGAATGCTTTGGTCATGCGATGGTGGAGGTAGGTCCTATTGATGGTGAAGAAACAAGCATCTGTCCCGCACTGCCCTAGCCTTCCAGTTTCCCCAGTCAGTGGGGACCACCATACCATAATGGGATAGTCATCAGTTTCCATTTTTTTTTTTCTATTCAGGGTCAGTGCTTCCTTCTTAAGAAATGAATAGAGATGTGTAGCCTCTTCCTTTGGATGTCCATCTCGCAAATTGGAATTTTTAAACTTCTTCCTTTCAAATTTGCCCAGCTCAATCACTACCTAAAAGAGGATAATTATTACTAGAGTTAGATCATTTCATTTCTTTTTGGCATATCTCACATTCATCTTGATGATTTAGCCTCTTATTATTTTTTAGTTTCGTTTTGCTGCTGTAACAGATTACCACATAGTCAACAATTTCAACCAACACAAATTTATGACTATACAATCCTGGAGGTCAGAAATCTGAAACAAGTCTTACTAGGCTAAAATCAAGGTGTCAACAAAGGTTTATTCCAGTAATCATATTGAGTTGCATACTCTGAAGGCATGCATGTCAAAAACATGGCAATTTATGCCAACATCAAAAATAAAACTCTTAGCTTAGACATTCCTTATAACTGGGAGTAAATGTCGAGTAGGTCAAAGCTCATTGATAACTTCTTATAGAAAGAAGCAGAAAACTCCAGCAACTCCTGCAAAAGCAGGCCCTGGGATACCTTTAAGCTAGACAAGAAGGGAGTCAAGACCCTCTCTGACCAAATCCCAAAGTGTGTTTATAGCATTATCTCAGTCAATCAAAATCAAAAGGGAGATCCTGTAGCATCGGAAAAAAAACAAAACAGAAAATACCTTCATTGCCATCAGCTCCACACCTGAAATACTCATATCCACACATAATCTTTAAAAGACCTTTGACTTTCAAATTGGACCACTGATATTTTAACAGGTGATAAATACATCTGAACTGTATATATATGTATGTATAGATATATATGTATACCTATATATGTATATCTATATATAATTACATGCATAATTTTACTATCATTGCATAACTTTTACATATTTTGCATATAATATACATATATAATTTTACTATCACTGCATAACTTTTACTTTAATTTGCAATCAGCAAAAATGACATTCAGAATAGCCAAGTAAAAGAAATGGGAGGACTGACAAAATGTTTTAGTTCACTCAGGCCCACACAGTCATTGATCTCCAGAGTATGTCAAGAATGACAAATTTACCAATCCACATGTTTGTGTTCTGAATGTACTACAAGATTTAGATTTCTTATTCTCAAAGGAGTTCTTGATTATTCAAGAAAGCCATCTTTCATAGGTGACTGTGAACATTTTGAGGAAGTCATCCAATTTTGATGCAACAAGACAAACCGAGTTTTACTTTCTATTCCTACCAGGACCCTACAAGAGTCACAAACTGATCCTCTATGTCACAGACTTTGTTTCTATCTGACATATTCATTATATCTCAATTTCATCTGTTTAAAAAGAAAAACATTTTCCCTAACTGGGACAGAAAACCCTGATCCTGAGAGATAAAGCAAAAAGTAAGGTACTTGGGGCCTCCCCAGTGGCACAGCAATTGAGCGCTGGGCTGCGAAGCTGCCTGCAGCCTCTGCAGCGCCGGTTCGATTCCCGGCCACTGGGCGAGGGTCCCACATGGCGCAGCAGACCTCTCCTGCTGCCCGCTGCTCCCCTCAGCAGTGCATTTCATCGGTCTGCCTGTTATGTTTCCCTCTCTGACTCTGAATTCTCTCACCCTCCCAATTTTCCGACTGTACCCAGTGCTTGTATAAATAAATAAATAAATCTTAAAAAAAAAAAAAAGTAAGGTACTTGGAGTTAGAAGAGGACAGGGCAGGAGCAGGGGTAAGGGCAAAGAAATCAAGACTATAAAACCCAAATCCTTGGTACCTGGAGTGTGACAAGCAGAAAGACGGTAGCTGTGATGCACAGGCAAGATGCCCAGAGCCGCCTCCTTTGAAGGCGCACCATGCTGCTCTGCCCCAGGTGCCTGACAGAGGGCTGGCCTAGTCACCAGCTGTTCTTCAGTCAACCCAGAGCCCGAAACAGCTTCACACAGAGGAGCCATCTGGGTGCCAATTTCCTCCATGACCCTTCTTGCTGGGACCTGGTCTCCATGAAAGACTGAGATCTGGGGTTCTGACTGAGCCCGGCTTGGCATCGAGAGGGAACAGCATGCAGTCTTCTTAAGCTATCATCAGAGCAGCTGGAGATTCCTCAAACAGAAGGCATCAAACCATTCTGAAACAAATGAATAATCTTTTAGTCACCCTGTAGAAAATATAAAAAATGTAGTCTTGCAGTGTTATCATACAGAAACCCAAAACTTTAAACCCAAAAAGAAGCTTCATTATCATAGCCTAATAGATCACTCGTAGGTGGGCAAAACAAGACCAAAGAGGTTAAGTGACTTGTTCAAGGTTAAAAGACCCTTAGAGGAGAGTGAGAGATCTACAGTCATTTACTATGAGAAGTAAATGAGATAAGATTGGTGAACATTTATTTCAAAATCTGATCCATGATAAAAATCCAATAAATATTTGCTATTCTTATTTAAAATATTGTTATAAATGGTATCTTTAAGTGAAAAGTGACAATAATTCATATAAAGTATGTTGCTGCTCAAATTCCAAAGTAATTGGGATTCCAATTACTATCCTTATCTTTACGGATAAGAAAATTGAATTTGAAGGATGTAAAGTAACGTGTGCAAATTCTTTTTTCTATTTATTTCTATACATATTTTTTACATCATTATTCATTTTTGGATAGTTTGCTTTCTTCTCTCAGGTGTAGTCCCCATAAAATTCCCACCACCAAGTGACCTGTGAACCATCTCCATAACTCTACAGTCTCTTGTGCTTTTCCCTTCTCCATCCTCCTCTGTTTTAATCCTTCTCCCTCCCCCTCCCCATCCCCTGCTGAAAGTCTTTAGTTTATAGTTGCCTTCTAGTTTTGTCTTTCCCCCCCATCCCTTATTTTGTTCCCCCATATTCTTCCTATAAGTGAGATCATCTGATATTTTTCTTTTTCCTTCTGACTTATTTCACTGAGCATAATCCCTCCAGCTCCATCCACCTTGATGCAAATGGCATGAATTTATCTTTTTTGATTGCTGAATAGTATTCCATCTTGTATATATATCACATCTTCTTGATCAGTCATCTGTTTTAAGCAAAATTTTAACTTTGATTAATATTACAAGAAATTGGTCAGACTCTGAAATCCATGCATTATTTTCTATGCTTTAACACTACAACTATAAAATAATGCTAACTAATAATGCTACCACAAGTTATCTGCCCAAATCAAAGAAAAAGGAAAAAAAAAAAAAACAACACTTGTGCAGAATAGCTTTCTATCAGCTGGTATACCAGAGAAAAAAGTAACAAAAACCCATAAGAGCCTGAAAAGTACTTTTCCTTCTACTTAGCAGATTGTAGTAGCTATTAATACATAAAATGTAGAGCTTGCATTTTGGGCTCCAATCCTAACTCTGTCACTTTATACAACATACTTTTGGACAAGTTACTAAATCAATCTATGCCTCAGTTTCCTCATAGTAAACAAGAAATATTAACCATTCTTCTCCTTGCAGATTATCAAATTTTATCAAAGATTATCAAATTTTCATTTTGTATGCAAAAGCAATTTATTATAGATATAATTAATCTAGTCCAGATGAGGTAATAAAATAATATTACCATTTCATTTTTTAATGTAATTATATTGTAGTTAAGAACATTTTCTATGACCTCTACCATTTTAACAAAATTTTAAGTGTACAATAGGTATTGTTAGCTATATGCGCAACGTCATACAGGTCTCTATAATGTGTTCATTTTGTATAATTGAGACTTTATACCTGCTGATGAGCAACTTCCCATTGTCCCCTCCCCCAACTCCTGGCAACTACCATTCTACCTTCTGACTCCATGAGTTTGACTATTTAAAATATCTCATAAACATGGAATCATACAGCATATACTCCTGGATTGACTTATTTCCCTTAGCCTAATGTCTTCAAGGTTCATCCGTGTTGCATATTGCAAGTTTCTTCTTTTTTAACGTTGAATAATATTGCACTCTATGTTTGTGCATTTTCTTTATCCATTCATCTATAAATGGATATATAGACTGTTTCCACATCTTGGCTATTGTGAAACACTACCACATTAAACGGGCATAAAACTATTTAATCATTTTTAAAAGATTACCCAATATTATTACTCTGCTCAATCTTATTGACAATCACTTTGTAAAGTCAACAAGGCAGGTATTATTCTCAGTTTCCACAAATAAGGAAACGAAGGGTCAGCAAGTTTAAGTGATTTGCCTAAGTTCATATTTCTTAAAGGTAAAGTGGATTTAGAAGTCAGATTGACTCCAAGATAAGTCAAAAGAGATGTGGAAAACAATGACAACTTAAGGTTACAAGAGTCAGGAATAAAGGAAAACAAAAAATGGAGAGAGAATCTGAGTATATTTTTACTGTTACTGTTACAGGACAGGGAGAGGGGCAGCCCAGGCCCCGCAAACCTGCCTACTCTATATGGTTCTGCCATCCGCCGCATCAACACAAAACATATGAGACTTTAATGGGAAGAAATTTTAATACAATTAAAAAACAATACAAGAAAGGCAAAGAATCTAGTTTCTAAATCAAGCACCCAAAGTTACCCGTCTGTCCCCTCGTGGGTAAAACTCCATCCAAATGGAATTGGCCCAGAGCAAGGCCCCAAAGCCTGCCACAAGTCTAAAACACTTTAGAGTGGGGACCCATAAAAAAAATTTAAAAACAATCAGACAAGTCTGGAGAAAAAGAGCAAAATTAAAATTTAGACAAAACCGCCATTGTCACCTCCCCACGGGTCTCTCACCCACATCTGTGTCACCCAGCCCATGACCAAAAGACACAGTTTCTTCACGTGGCTCCATGTGCCTCCTCCAGGTCCCCTCCTGGCTCTCCATCCCGCTTCCTTCCTTCCTCAACCTCCTCTGCAGCTTCTTCTCTCCCAGACTCAGCTCCACCCTCCTTTGAGTGGAACAGGAAACCTAAAACCTTCCCCTTTCCTGGGGACTAACTACCCTGTTAAATTACCACATAGATCAGGTATGTCTTGGGACCTTTTTAAGTCTTTATAGGATTTTTTCATATGGAACTTTACAAAGAATCTGGATTTTAGGTTATAACCTCAAAGTCAGAAGTATAGTGGGGGGTCTCAGGGATCAAAGTGTGGCTAAATACCCACTACTAAAGATTAGAACCAGCCAGGGTAGATGGCATTTTGATTTACAGCATTCAGCAATCACCCAGGCCTTAGGGCATGTCTGTAGTAACAGCCGATCTAAGACAACAGTCTGGACTGGACCATCTTCTGAAGTTTCATCCCAAAATTAAGCTCTCTGCTCCCATGAGTAGAATCCAGGAATAAAACCTCTCCATAGAAGAAAAATCAATCAAGTAAAGAAACAGTAATCAAGACTACCTGAGTTATCACAAACTAAGATTTCTGGGAAAATAAAATAAAAATACTTCTCTAGAACAAGTTTAGAATTGCTTTATCCTCATCCTCCAATTTGGTAATTCAACATTAACTTTTGAAAACTCAAATTTTATTCTCAAATAAATACCTTTAAAACATTATAAATAAACTTAATTTTTTTGATTCTCAAAAAGCCATGTTTAGGAACACTATAGCAAAAATTCAGTGTAGAAATAATTAATGTACAGATATTTATCATACAATGCTGTTTTTTTAACTAGGTATTCATTTCTTACCAAAAGAGGTTTTTTTAACTAGGTATTCATTACTTTGCAATCCAAATTTTGAAAGCATTTCATAGAAGTTGGAAATGTCTGCACACTGAGCAAAACTTACCTACATAAGAATAACATTACTGTTGGTCCATACTATCTTCCTTATTTCCTAAACTTCTCCCAGTTTGTTATTTTTTCAAAAATATTCTATTTATAAAATAAAAGTTGAAAACTTACTTTCTTAAAATAGAAAAATAAACGATGAGCCATAAAAAAAAAAAAAAACAGTAATAACTGAGACTATTTAATTCACTGTTAAACACTGCCACCTAGGAAGAGGCCAGCAATGAGGCTTTACTGCATCAATTTCAAAAATGGAGCAGACCTTAAGGATCCTCTGATGCTGCCTCAGTCTTGCAGGCAGGAGAAATTTCTACAATTGAGGTGAGTATGCTGTCTAAATTGGTGGCTTGGTAGTGTGCAAAATCCTAGGCTGCTTCTTCAATGCAAATGGCCAGGTCCCACTTGAACTGTCTCCGTTGGAGATACATCACAATGACCTAGCTGTAGTGTGACATCACTATCAAGCTCAAGATTGGTCATGATTTCCCGGGGTGTCTCATTGAGAGAAGGAAATATGTAGACGGAGAAGATGATCCTGAAACCCACTTTACCATACTCAAAAGTGTACCGGGTCAGAGTGCATAACCGATGCATAACAGATGAAATGAACAATCCCAAGTCAAGACTTGCATGTCTGTCGGAGTAGTAGTGGTAAGAAAGTCATTTTTGTGTGGCATGTGTACCATATTGTATTATTGTTAAGGGTTCATTAAAAGATTTCCAGAAAAATGTTTTTAAATCACACAAATCTCTAAATATAGCGATTTCTATTACTTACATAAAATGCTTAGGGGCGGGGAGTGGGCAGGGCGCTAATGGAGTACAAAAATGCCAAGAAATGGTTTGCATATTGATGACCAGAGCCTGATGTCCTGGGGACTCTCCCGGGCCATTTTCTTCCCCCAAAACTCAATGCTCTCGACTGCTGGAAAGCCAGAATCGCTGCTACTTCAGCGCACTGACTTCTAGCAACAAGTGATTCTCAGTGAAGTCTGGATGAACGAAGCAATTCACAATACACAAAGGCAGAACTGGGTTCGAGAACTGGTGAGGCTGGAAAGGGCAGATCCGGGCCGCCTGGAGACGCGGGCACCTCGGTTGCCAGGCTGCGGGCGCAGGCCAGGAGCCGCGCGCCCCGGGGTTCCAGCCGAGGCTCCGGCGCGTCCCCGGCCTCCCACCCGCGCTTTCTCAGCAGCCAGACAGCAGTGTCTCCGGAAAGCGCTGCCCGAGGTCTTCCCGCACAGACTTGGATTCTTTTTCCGCACACCACTCCGTCCTTCTCTGCCTACACTCCACTCTGGGCACAGCGCACTGTGGTTCTGGCCGGCAGCATCTCAGCGTCCATGGACAGCAGAAAAGTCCGCTTTTGCGTCCCGGCATCAAGACGCTGCCCACATCAAGCTATCACTCAGACTAGAAAACACCCCGGGATTCGCACTCACCTCGTCACGGTGAAGGAGGTTAATTAACTCTGCTGATTGCAGCCCGGCCGTTTTTCACTTTCAGTTTGCGCTCCAGCCTGAGCTCAGGCGAAGACTCGGAAAGGAGATTTGGGGAAGGCAGGATAACTCTTGCCGCTCCAGGCCGAGCGATCCTCGATCCAGGTTTTCACTGATGCCCCCTTTAAACGCTAGTGGGTCCTCGGTTGCGGGTAACACCGGCCGCCCCTCACTTGGGATTCTGGGGCGCCGTCTGACTGGGTTGTAACCCTACCTGAGCGACTCCTGTGACCCTCTTTTTAAGCCAAAGACAGGGTACTTTCCACTTCTCGAACTCCAAGACTGGAGCACTTACAAAGTTACCTATTTTGGGGAACCTTTTAAGCAAAGCAGGGGCCTGAGTCCCTCTAATCAGTTGCTAAGCTGAGTTTGGGTGTCTGAACCGGATGGTGATTTAGTTTTACTGGTGAAGGAAAACTGACCTCAAGCTATTGAGTTCCAAATTCAGATAACCCGATTAAAATTAGTTTGCCCCTGTCCAGGCAGAAGGCGATAAACAGAGGGAGATAATTCAAGACTTTCGGAGGGCCAGGACTAGGGTGAGCCGAAGGAAGCCTCTGTGACACAAAAAGTGAGGAGGCCCTGAGTTCTGGGTGTCCTGAAAGTGCTGGGTGCACTTACTGGATAGGGTGTTTGCTGCCCTAGGCCTGCATCTCTAAATCCTAAATCTGTGCCATTTGAGTCAACATCTTCAGGATATTTCAAAATAAAATAGGATTATAATAATTTTTATCATTTTTGTTGTTTGACAATTCTGAATTACTTGTATGAAGATAGAAGAATATTAATCTCCCTGACACTGTATTTTCTTATCAAGCTGGATGGCTACTCATTACAGATGTTCTAAAATGCATTAATGTACAAGATTATGTGGGAACTGATCATTTCTAAAGTGTCCCCTGATTAGTAATCTGATTAGTAATCTATGGTTCAACAAAGGTTTTAGTTAAAACAAAGACCCAAACTGTATAACAAGTATTTGCAACTATATAGATTTATTTTAAAAATGGTCCTTATTTCTCAGCCCTCTCTGTAGCCACCCCTTTGCAATGTGATTTTCAAGCTCCCCATCAAGAAGCAGAGTTTATTTCCCCTCTTTCTGAATTTCAGGCTGGCTTTGTGACTGAATTCTGTTGGCCACAGGGTATGGCAGAAATGACAGGGTGCCAGTGCTGGGCCGGGGTCTCCCGAGGTCTTCTATGCACACATTCCTTTCATTAAAACTCTGACCAGCTACCATGAGAACCATCTGTATGACAAGGGGCAATGACTGTCACCAAGAGTGCCCCAGAAACTAAGATGTATGAGTTTATCCTAAACCAGTCGGCTACACACCAATCCAATGGTGAACAAAGAGCAAGTCCAGGTCACATCAGTTTGAGGAGATCTCCTCAAACAGTAAAATATCCTAAAGGTAAAATAGAAAGATCTTTAGTTAAGACCTCTATATTAGTTAAATTTGTCTGTAGCTCTTTTCAGGCAAACAAGAGCCAGTAATCATAGAGATGTCTGCACAGCATCCTGCTCTCCCAAAGTAGCCACAATTAGGGTTGGAGAGAGAAGTTTGTTCGAAAATACTATGTGTGAACGGTTTTATCCAGTGAATAGAGTTAAATCCATAGAGAGTAAGATTCCACAGAGAAAGCTCAAAAACTGTTTGAATTCTGTAAATAAAAACGCTCCCAACTTGAACTAGAATGGTTTGAAAGTGTTCTAATTACTAAAAAATAAAAAAGCTTCTGGGTGCCCATGCTTCTCTAGGAAGGACATGGTCTGACAAGGCTACTCATTAGAGTAATGAGTAAAAAGTAATAAAGTACATAAAGTAATGAAGTAATTACTTTAATGAGTAGCCTTGTAATGTAATGTGCCATTGTTTTGGAAGCAGTCATGGAGGAGACTGAAAAACAAAAATTCTTCAGAGAGCCAGGAGGGTTGGAGAACTAGGGACTGTTCTAGAAACTGTTTCTCAGAAAGCAGAATTGCACCCTAATCTTGGAGCACTCTTCTCTGGATCAGAGGCATTGGACACTGGTCAGGTGGAATTACTGAATCACTGTCAAGCAGTGACTGTGTTTACTGCTGGGTACAGACATCTCTAATTAACCAGTGAGCAAATCAAAATTCATTCATCCAAAATTTAAGCCTCTTCTAAAATCTGCTCCACCTTCAGCCTTCACTATCTTGATAAGGATGCCCTCTTTTCCTCGTAGCTCCAGCCAAAAGCCTTGGAGTCCTCTGTGATTCCTGGTTTTCTCTCACTTCGCCCATCTAACAGATATGAACTGTTGACTCTGTGTTCACACCATGCCCAGAATTCCACCACCCTTTACAACTGCTGATGTCACTGCACAGCCTAAGCTGTGTCACCCTGACTGCTCTGCTACCCACCCCTCTCCTCCACCAGCTTCTGCTTTCATGTTCATGACAGCCAGAATACATTGATTATATTATAATCAGAAAATGCCAAGATCCCATTCAAAAATACTCAATTTCAGATAAAATCAGTAACCCTTAGGTATAATTTACGTAACGCGAGATGCCTCCATTTTAAGTGGAGAGCTGGATGAGCTTGGACAACTATTTACACCACAACGTAAGATTGGTATTTCTTTCTTGTTTGATAGAATTTGCCACTACAACTATGTTGACTTGGATATTTCTTTGCAGGGCTTTGGTTCCTTCTCCAGCTCATTTCCCTGCTGTCCACCCAGTGACCTTCTGACTGCCCTCCAACGCACCAAGCACACCAAATACATTACCAGGCAATTGAAAGCTCATCCTGCTTTTTTCAGGTCTCTTTGTTAAGTGTCGAGAGAGACCTTCCTTAATATCCTGCCACTCTTTATCCCTTATCCTGTTTTATTTTTCTCACATCTCATTGAACCTGATATATTGTGCATTTTGTTTGTTTTGTCTCACTTCCCTAGCAGAATTAAAGCTCCAGAGAGCAAGAGTTTTCTTTTGCTCAATTGCTGGACCCCCAAAATGTAGAACTGTGCTTGGCATATAGTAGAGACTCAGTAACTACAATATTTCTGATATTATTTTTAAGGAAAGGAAGAAAAGAAAGGGAGGATGCATATTTTCAAAACTCAAGTTTAAGAAGTACAGCCTGCTTTAACTGACTCCAACATTAAAGAGCTAGTGTGTGTGTATTGCCTAATAATAGATACATATATTAAGATATAAAATATTTCATTTTTAGAAAAGGTATGTGATTTTATTTGAAGTTTAACAACCCCTACTTTTCTTTCACTCTGTTTTTTATGCTTATATAAGCACTTGAAGATGACTCTGAAAGACTCAGTTGGAACCGGCAGGAAGCAATCAAAGCAAAGCTCCTATCTGGAAGATCTAACAGTCAATGAAAGAGGACCCTCAGCTCTGCTATTTCAAAAATCACTCCTCTATAAATGGCTGAAGGCTGACAACTAGGCTAAATAACTTTGAAGGACTTGCAGTGAATTCAAAACCTCTCATCTAAGATTTCTAACACAGAGATGCTAAATAGAGATATAAAATTGGAAAATATTCAGGGTCACTTTGTTTAAAATCGAAGCTCTCTCCTCCATACGATCCAGCAATTCCCCTCCTAGGTATTTACCCAAAGGACACAGAAACAATAATTCCAAAGAGCACCTGCATCCCTGTGTTTATAGCAGCACTGTTTACAATAGCTAAGCTTTGGAAACAACCCAAATGCCCAAAAATAGATGACTGGATCAAGAAGATATGGTACATATGCACCATGGAGTATTACTCAGCATTCAAAAAAGATAAACAGGCCTCCCCGGTGGCACAGCGGTTGAGCACTGGGTTGCCAAGCTGCTCGCAGCCTCTGCAGTGCCGGTTCGATCCCCGGCTGCTCCCCGGCCACCAGAGGAGGGTCCCACATGGCGCGCAGACCTCTCCTGCCGCCCGCTGCTCCCCTCAGCAGTGTCCTTCGGTCCTTCTGCCTGCTCTGCTTCCTGCTCTGGCTGTGGTGAATTCTCTTACCCTCCCACGCTTCTGACTGTACCCAGTACTTGTATAAATAAATAAAAATAAATCTTTAAAAAAAAAAAAAAACATAAACACATGCAATTTGCAGCAACATGGATGGAGCTGGAAGGGATCCTGCTTAGCAAAATAAGCCAGAAAGGAAAAGAAAAATACCGGATGGTCTCACTCATAACAGGAATCTAGAATCTAAATATGGACCAGGAAAAAGAATAACTATAAGAAAGAAAAAATCAAAATCAACAAACAGCTATGAACCAGAGACACTCTTTGTGGTGGGGGAAGGAGGGATTGGAGTCAAAATCAGGGTTGCAATTGTATGGGGAATGAAAAAAAAAAATTGAAGCTCTCTACAGCATTCCTGCTCTACCTCCTCCTACCTTTCTCAGTTTGGTTTAAGTGCTGGGATAACTGAATTCTGAAGCACATGTTGCCTTGCCTTGCTCCAATAGAGCAATCTGGAAGGACAGACTTCATTTAGAGGCAGAGGCAAAATTTAAGCATTGCTCTTTATATTTTAATACTCAGTGTAAGCAGTCTTCTACAGAATACATAACCAATAATGATCAGAACAATTACAAGATACATGAACCCTAAAATAAACCTCTATATTCTTTTTCTATAAGGTGCCTTATCCAAGAATCTAGAATTTTTGCTTGTTCTCCTTGGAAAAGAATTTGCTCACAGTCTCCACTACCTGAAGGGCAACAATGCAGGAGGCCGATAAGATAGGTCACTGTCTGTGGGTTCTTACGCACACAATTTGCAAGAGACCACAGGCTCCAGGAACAACCATGGGGTTTATTTTACAAACAGGGGAAACAAGGAGCTTGCTGTATCCACAAGTGTCTGGTTATCTCACCAAGATAACGTCAGTGATGGTCACCAACGGTCATCAGGAGTGCTGGACAGCACTGACCAGCAGTGATGGTCACTAGTGATCCCGCAGAGGCGGTGTCAGAGACACCAAGTGTGTTAACAGCTCATTGTGAGTTAGTTGGGCTATATCAACAACAAACAGCTCTTTGAGACTCTAGGCCCAGGGCCTTTGGTGCTCCTTTCAGGCAATGTCAGAGACAGGAATGGAGACCCAGTCTCTGCAAAGGTCTTTGGTTTCTCTTCCCTCCTCCGAGGTCAGCTGCTGGAGGCTTCTTTTTTTTCTTCAGAGACCAGGAACGGAGTCTTCCCCTCCTTTCTTCTTCCTTTGGAGGCCGGCATCATCTCTCCTCTTTGGGGACTGGCGTCTCTCCCTGAGCTCCCTCCAACCCTGGTTTATATCCTCCTTCATGGTGCCCCACCCCACTGACTGTTTTTCAATCCTTTGGTGATTGAACCATTTAGCACCAATCAGCTCATAGCTTGCACCTGATTGGTCCATTCCACAAAGCACACTGTTACATAAAAGGGCTCAGAGGACCAACTGCCACAACTGACAAAAAGGCAGTTACTGGGCTCTGAGGACCAACCGCTGCAATTGCCTTGTGGTGGAGCAGCAGCATGAAAGAATACCACTGTTGCTGCCAGCTTCCACCGCTGAGGTGGCTGGGTTCTGGTAACAATTAAGATAGATGAACCCTGAAAATAAACCTCTCTCTATTACTTTTCTACAAGGTCCCTTATCCTAGAATCTAGAAGTTTTGCTCTTTTTCCTTTGGAAAATAATTTGCTCATAGTCTCCAGCTGAGCAATAGATATGCTTCTGCTTTTCAGGCTGACAAACTCCCAGAGGAAGGTCCACTCAGAATACTGCAGAGTTCATAGGCCCCAGTTCTAGGCCATGTACCAAACTGGCCAGTAGACTGATGATCTGTCATCAGTCTGAGCCATGCAGACTCAGGAAAAGGGCTACCAAGGGACTTACATATTCAATTATTCAAAAACTTCCAGCCATTTTTTTTGTTACAGCTGTGGAAAACTGAGACTTAGAGAGTAAGTTAATTGTCCCCAAAATACTACATTTTATCTTTCTCATTAGAAAAATATCCTTATTGAGATATAACTTACATAATGCAAGATGCCTCCATTTTAAGTGCAGAGTTGGATGATTTTGGACAACTATATGTCCACTACAATATAAGATTGATATTATTTCTTTCTTATTTCATAGAATTTGCCACTATGACTATATAGACTTGGATATTTCTTTGCAGAAAGTTTTAAATTATGAATCTGACTGATTTAACAGATGCAGGGATATTCAGATTTTTCTATTTCTTCTTGAGGGAGATTTGTCAACTTGTCTTTCAAGAACTGTGTCCATTTTACCCATTGTAGAATTATCAGTATAAAGTTGTTCATATACATTCTCCCTTTTAATATTTTTGGAATCTTCTCCATGTCCTGATATTGGCAATTTGTATCTTCCTTTTCTCCTTAAACACTCAAGTCAGCAGTTTTCAATCTTTTCAATGAACCAGTTTGTGTCTAATTGTTTTTTTTCCTCCATTGCCCATTTTCTATTTCATTTATTTCTACTTTTCTATATTTTTGTCTCTGAAGAATGTTATATAAATGAAAATACACAATATGTAACATTTCAAGATTAGCATCCAGCATAATTGTATAGAGTCAACCAGGTTGTTTTATATATCAAACATTTGTTCTTTTTTATTCCTGAGTAGTAAGTATTCCATGGGTAGGAGGTACATAGCTTGTTAACCATCCCTTCATTGAGCAACATCTGGATTGTTTCCACTTTTTTAAATGAAATAATTTTATTGAAATAAATTTCATATGCCATATAATTCCATCCACTTAAAGTTTGCATTGCAATGATTTTAAGTGTATTCAGCAAATTGTACAATCATAACCATATTTAAAAAAATAACTATTCTAGAAAGAAATCTCGTACCAATCATCAGCCGCTCCCATTTGCCCTCAAGGAGGCCCCCACCATCACTGCAACCCTAGACAACCACTTATCTGCATTCCATCTCTATAGATTTGCCTGTTCTTGGCATGTCATATATGGTCTCATATGCTATTGGTCTTTTGTGACTAATTTCTTTCACTATGTATTGTACTTTGCAGGTTCATTCATACAGTTGTATGTATTAATGCTTTATACATTTTTTAAGACTGATAAGAGCCCACTGTATGGATATGTCACATTTTGCTTATCCATTCATCAGTTTGGGTTTTCCCCTCTTTTGATTGTGACTAATGCTGCTATGAATATTCATGTACAAGTTTTTGTGTGGTCTATATTTTTATTTTTTATTTTTATTTTATTTTATATTTTTATTTTTCTTAGTTTGGTTTGGTTGTTTCTCTTACATTGGTTTACAACATTAGAGATATGTTTTAAGGGTATAATGTTCAATGTACGTTACCACACCACACCCACCACCAAAGCACCAAACCCTCCATCACACATGAAAAATAAACTTCTAAAGGATGTTAAGACATTCAATCTTGAACATGCTATAAGCTCTTCATTTATCAAAATTAAAAAAAAATTGTCTCAGCAATGATTTCTTGTTTTTTATGTAATAATCTGGAATTCGGGCTTTTTTAAAAAAAATCTCCAGTTGATTTTACTGTGAAGATTGACTAGACCTGTCCCTGATTATTTTTAAACTTCTCGCTGACTTGACTGTGAAGTCATGGCTGACTCACTTGGCCCCTCTCATTTCCTATCACTCTCTCCTTTCCTTACTACTGTACAACGCATACGTTCCTTTTTCCATCCCTTATATCACTCCTGACTGGTTCTTTTTGCAGCCTTAATAGCTGTTCATAGTTCATATTACTTATGCCTGACTTGACCAGTTGCCTATTTAGATGATCATTTACTCAGAGTCCCCCAAATTACCCATCCTAAGAGCATCCCTTTTCAATCTCCATTTGTTTACCTTGCATTATTTTTTTTTTTTTAAAGATTTATTTATACAAGCACTGGGTACAGTCAGAAGTGCTGGAGGGTGAGAGAATCTATCAGAGCCAGAGCGGGGAACAGAATAGCCAGACTGAGGAAATACACTGCTGAGGGGAGCAGCGGGCACGGCAGGAGAGGTCTGCGCGCCATGTGGGACCCTCGCTGGCGACCGGGGATCGAACCGGCGCTGCAGAGGCTGCGGGCAGCTTCGCAGCCCAGCGCTCAACCGCTGCGCCACCAGGGGAGGCCCTGCATTATTATTATTTATAACATTTGCCACTACCTGAAAGCACACAACAGGTGCCCAAAATTATTTGAATTAATTTTTAGGGTAACATTGGTTTTCCACTTTGTATGATTTAGAGGAACAAGTGTTGTTACCACACTACACCCACCACAGAGCACCCACCATACAAGTGACATCATCTGGTACTTGTCTTTCTCCTTATGTAGCTTTAAAGGCATCTGGAGGAAGGCTCTGCAGGCAGGGTAGGAAGTCGCTAAGCAGGGCCTGCCACAAACCCCCAGCTGCACTGAAGCGCAGATGGAGCCGGAACTGGCCCCAGAATGCACGATCCCGGGACGTAGTCCAAGCCCCGAGAGCCCACGGAAGTTCGGTCGCCAGGGGGCGCTGAGCAAGTCCGGGATCGCAGAAATCTCGCGATTAGCGAGACTAGGCCTCCCGGAAGTGAGACCTCGGAAGGAGCATGGCCGCTCTCCTCACCTGACCAAGCTCTGCTGGCCGCCCGGGACACCATGCAGTCAGATGATGTGAGTCTCCTCCTCTTACTCTGGCACCCGGGGTTTATGTGACTCTCCCGCATATTCAGCTTGCCCAGTGGCCTCGTGTCGCTCCGGAGGCGAGGTTTCCAGAGTCCCGTTGGCGTGCGTGGGGCTCTCACGTGTCCCCCCGGGAGCGCCAGCCTGCTGCCCCGGCGGGGCTGGGGCGCCGGAACTCCGCCGCTTGCGCCCACATGGGCAGCCTAGCAACGAAGGACTTTGCCTGTGGTCCTTTATAACTTGGGAGGCGGAGGATGGGGTTGATACAGCGAAATTGAGAACTCAAATTTAAGCATCCTTTCATCCGTACGCACGTTTAACATTTCTGCTTTTTTTGTGTTTTCTTCCTTTACATTTTTTTCTGTGTGTACGCAATCATAATTTCGGAACCGTCCTAGACTAATTCATTTAATTATTTGTTGTATGAATACTTAAGTGCTTACACTGTACTAGGTATTGTGGAGTTTGGTTGTTAAGTCAGTAAAGACAGTCATGAAGACCTGCCTTCATGGAAAAATCTGGTGGAGAAGACAGATAATGGATAGGTGAACTAATAAAAACAATTGTAATGTGTAATACTTTGGAAGAAAGACAAGGATAGTTAAGAGTAAGTAGGAGAGATCACTTCAGATGGAGCTGATTAAATAGGTTTCTCTGAGCAGGTGACTTTTGAGCTGAGATCTCAAAGATGAGAATGAACTCCGCACTGAGACGCTGAGGGGAAAATACTCAATCCAGGTGGTTGGAACAGTAGAGTACAAAGTTGTAGAAGTGAGAAGGACTATAGTAAAATACACCAATGTGACTGTGTTATAGGAATTAAAGGAAGAGAGACAGGTAATGAAGGACGTTGATTATACTTGCCAGAACCAGATCTTGTGCAGTCTTTAGGAAGTGTATTTTAAGGCTGGTAATGGGAAATGACATCTCATTTACACTTGTGAAAATTTCTTTAGTTATGTGAAAGGTTTTTTAAAATGAGAAAGAATGAAAGCAGGAGAGTAGAGTACTATGATGAAAGTAGCTTCAACTAAGACAGTAATGGTGGAGATGAGGCGATCGGATGAATTTGAGATGTTTTACCACTCTAACCAATAAGATTTGGTGATGGATTAAGTGAGGAAGAAAATGGAGCAGGGAAGAGATTTTTAAATTTGAACAAATAGTTCACTGGTGGCTGTATTGAGATGAAGTCTAGAGAGGAACAGTATTCCTTTGAGAGGTGTGGAATTGCAATATGTAAGATGAGTTTTAGACATCCAAATGGAGGTGTCAGGTGGGCAACATTGTATGTATAAGTGTGAAGTTTAGGCAAGAATCCTCATCAGGAGATGACAGTTTGGAATTATCAATTTAAAGATGTTATTTAAAACAGTGACCCAAAATAAGCTACTTTTCCAGTTTCCTCTTCCTGTTTCCTACCATCCCCTCCCAAACACACATCCTATACAATTTCCAAAATGATGTTCTGTCCTTTTACTGTTTTTTTCCTTTAAATGCTCTAAGAGGTTTTTATTTCCTCAAGACAACTCACTCACAGGTTCTCATACACCTCTATTTTGATGCTAATTTGTGACTTTGTTTACGTCTTTCTCTTTTACTAGACTGGTAAAGCTCATTAAGGCCTATACTTTCACTCAATACTTGAGCACTGCTTGTATATCAGGCTTGAAGGGTGTTGGTGTTGTACATAAATTAAGTGTATGGTAAATGCTCAGTGAATAAAGAGTACCTTAGTGGAGGATAGCGACCTGATCTTCCTTGCCCTCAATGAGATAACATTGTGGTGCATACATCCAAAAATTTAGCACTATGCAGACTTTAACAATGGATAATGAACATATTAACTAAGAAAGAAAAGTTACATATATATATATCATTTTTGCTAAAACATACTTAGAAGCATAATAGTTGGTAGAATAGATAGAAAAACTAAAAAAAATTACAAAGTACTAATGATGTTTCTAAGTTATATTTTTTACAAGAATTTGGTGTTTGTGGAAGGAAGACAAGTGAGACTATTTTACAAAGCATTTCTTATCTCATTCCTAGGACATTGTTTTCTTACGGGAATATGCTGTCTGTTGGGTCAGACCAATTGAAATGGACTTCTCCTTTGTCTTGTAGGTAATCTGGGATACGTTAGGAAACAAGCAATTTTGTTCCTTCAAAATAAGGTGAGTCTAGATTTGAATGTTAGACAAAAATGCTTTCATTTTCCCTCTTGGTAACACATCTTCAAATTTTTTGCTTATTTTTCCCTCCCATTCTAGAACCAAGACTCAGGGCTTTTGCAGAAATGAATACAACCTAACTGGACTATGTAATCGGTCATCCTGTCCCCTAGCTAACAGTCAGTATGCTACTATCAAAGAAGAGAAAGGTAACTCCCCTGTTTTAACTTCATGAGAACTACTTAGTAGCTTTTAAAAGAATGCATTTTTGCCTCTTTGTAAATAATATTAAAAATATTTACTTTATTTTGCAGGACAGTGCTACCTGTATATGAAGGTTATAGAACGAGCAGCTTTTCCTAGGCGTCTCTGGGAACGGGTAAGTCTTAACATTGGTCAAGAGCAAAATGCCACATGTATTCCTCTTCCTTGACTATATATTAAATCTTCAAAGCCATTCTCATTAGGTCCTATAGTTATTGTCAACAGTGAAAACCTTGTCATTTACCCTTGCCCTTCAAGTTTCCTTTTTCTGGTCTGTAGGTCCGGCTTAATAAAAATTATGAGAAAGCACTGGAGCAAATAGATGAAAATCTGATTTACTGGCCCCGTTTCATTCGACACAAATGTAAGCAGAGATTCACCAAGATTACACAGTACTTAATTCGAATTCGAAAACTTACACTAAAGCGACAGTAAGTATTTATTTTTAAATCTATCTTTTGAAAAATCTTGTTAGAAAGCTAAGAAATTGTGAGATCTCTAATAATTCTTAACCTGTTATGATATGCTAAAAAGAAACGTTACCTCAGATTAAAGTTGTGCTCTTTGATTTTTAAAACGCTATAGTACAACCTAGGTGCTTCCTACCTAAGCACATCTTCAGGGACTTTTTTAAATAACTCCTTGCAGAAATTTTAAAATTGGGATTGAAAATGGCCTTAAAAAATGTGAATAAACGGTAATAAGAGAACTTTACTCTGGGTTCACTAAAAACTAATTTTAAAAAGTGACACGAATCCACAGAACTAACGCAATACCTTCTTAAAGAATGATGGGGCTTAATACTTTTCATTATAAATTGCAGAGCATGCTAAAAGTGTCCGTCCGTCTTCTATAAAAAATCCTTTTTCTTAGTTCACTGAAGCATTAATCTTAGCATAGTGAATATCCTGTTTCAGAATGCCTGAAGAAAACAAAATAACATTAAAATATGTGTAAAAATGGTCTGACTTACAGCTTTAAATTTATAAAAATTTAAATTATATAATCTTATTGTATTGCCTACAAAATCATTTTCAATACTGTTTCTTTTCATCTTTTTAAAGGAACACCTAGCACATGTACTTGTGTTTTTTGATTATGTGTTTTACTTCCCACAGGAAGAAACTTGTTCCTTTGAGTAAGAAAGTAGAGCGGAGGGAAAAAAGAAGAGAGGTAACTTACTGGTCCTGATATTCATAGCTCCTGTATTTTCATTGAGGTTAAGGTTATGTAGGGCAGGAAAAAGAAAAAGGATGCTCAGTTATCATTGTCTAAGAACTATTCAGGCCTGGATAAATATTTCATTACTGTGTAACAGTGTGAGTTGTCTTAAGGTACCTGGTTTTCCAAAGCTTAAGAATTTGACTTTCAGGGCTGGTGCTAAGAGGGCTTGTGTAATGGGGAACAGAAAGAATACTGTAGATATCTAAAAAAAAACCCTAATCGGAATTTTTTGAGGCTAGGGGTTTCAGAATTCAGAATTTTGATGTTACCTATCTTAGGGGTTGAGTAGTCTTAATCACACTAGTAATTCGGCAGTGAAATTAAGAATGTTCACACTAGTTGAAATTTTAAAAAATTTTTCAAGGAGCCTGGTGTTTTTTGTAGTCACATTTGACCACTAAATTGAGTCTTTTTGATTTTAAAATTGTAAGGGATCATGTGGGTTGTTTGCTTAAGTTAACTGGGTAGTTTTACTATTTAAGTAATGAATAGTGATGGTAATAATGCATTTTCCCTGGTGCTATCTATGGAAAATGTAGTTAGGATATCCCAGCCTTTGTCACAGAGTAGTCTGCCTGTCCTTCCCACTGATAACCTCTCTCAAGCTGGATTTTCTTGTGCTTTTCAAGAGCCACAGATTAGCTTTCCCTGACAAGTTCAAATTTTCAGTCATTCTAGATATTTGCTTTACTTTCGTTCCACCAATAGACTGATCATTTGTCATAGCCTATCAGGAAACAGCTTTAATAATCTTGAAGCTTTTGCCCCATTAATCACAGAGTTCTCTATCTCATTTCTTTTATATCCTTGGTCTCCAATAAATTTTTTAACATATACTCCCAAATATATTTTTTTATAAATGTTATTTGTATACTTGCACTAATATAGGTGCATTATAAATAACTGTGTAATGTGAAATGAAAGTCTGGGTCTAGTATGAAATATGAATTCATCTTTGATAAAGCTCAGAGATACAGAAATAATGTACAGTGTAGTTTGCATTAAGTATTTGCTCTCCATTTTTAATTCTCCACCATCAATTAGTTTTTATTCAGAACTGGCTAGTGTGATTTCTTCCCTGATTGTTGGACAAGTATTCTTGCAAACTTCTCAGAAAATAAATTAATGTGATTACAGTTGTTTCCAAAATTTTTAAGTGTGAGCCCACAATTTTTATAGGATACACATTTTCAACACTGACATAGATGCAATTTTTAAATGTTCTGTCCACAGAACAAATTTTTCCAAAAAAATTTCTTCAAACTTCATATTGCCTTTCCTTGAAAGAACAATTGAAGTATTAAGCATTAGTCAGCATATCTTTATGTCCTATTTTATTGCACTGTTCAGTAGTGTCCATAAATATACTTCACCAGGCAAATAGTTGTATGTTGTAATAATCCAAATAAAGGAGACGCTAATTTCAAACTCTGTGTCCATTTTTTCCCATAGGATATCTTACTGTATGTGACACAACTATTTGCTTTCTGGACAGTGTCAGCGTGCATTAAAAAAAAATTTTGTAACAATTTTTTAAGAAAACCGTGTGCACATAAGTTTGAATATTTTCTTCCTTGCATCTCTGTGTATACCTTGAGGTGTAAGTGCCCACCTCAGAGAGTAACAGAACATCACATAGCCTACTAACTGGTCTCTGCATTGAGATTTATCCTGCACATCCTTCATGATTCTAATATATCTTCAGAAATCTGATTTTCACTATCAAATTAATGCACAGCTTAGGATAGAAACTATGTCTTGGTTGTGGTGGGATTGATGGGAAGAAGTCTATATTTTTCTATCACAGAATCTCATATTTTAGAAAAGGTCAATGAGTGGATATCTTTGTTCCCTTATCAGTTGGTTTCAGGATTGCTAATTTTCTGAGACACTGCTATATGTAGACTCACATGCTTTGTATCTCTATCAAAGGCTTTTTAGAATTTTAGAATATTACTTATAAAACTATGGGAATTTTTTTAATTGAAAGGTTTGAGAGGGAAAGAAGAAATATATTTGGAGAGACAGATCCTCAGTAAAGTCAAAAGGGAAAATAACCATGTCTTATAAAAACTAAATCTTTTTTTGACTTCTACGAGCTAAAAAATAAGTACCAGTGAAGTAAATGGGTTTGCTCTTTTCTCTTAGGAAAAGGCATTAATAGCTGCTCAGCTGGACAATGCTATTGAAAAGGAATTGCTGGAGAGACTGAAACAAGATACGGTGAGAACGCTAGGAATGTTGGTTACAAATTTTATTTTTTAGGAAGCATTAAGAAATAATGGGAAATGTATTTTAAAGATGTTAGAATGATAGCCACTTTGGTTTTATTCCTACAATAAAAGGAATCTCAAAGCTCCTAGCTTCCTCATTCTAGTTCTTTGATGAAAGCATATAAAATGTTACCGGGGTACTGTTAAGTGTAAAAGGACCTTTTTTCTTTTTTGCATTAATCCCAACTCTTGTCCCAAATGCAATTCCATATCTCTGACAAAAACCATCTTTTTTTTTTTTTTTTAAAGATTTATTTATGCATACAAGAACTAGGGTATAGGCCAGCGGTACGGGCAAGGGGGGTGGGGTGTGAGAGGATTCACCAAGACAGTGGGGAACAGAACAGGCAGATTGACTGAAACACGCTGCTGAGGGGAGCAGCGGACAAGACAGGAGAGAGAGGTCTGCTGTGCCATTGGGCAGCTCCCTGGCTGGGGATCAAACTCTTGCAGCAGCGACTACAGATAGCTTCATAGGTTGCGCCTTAACCCCTTGTGCCACCAGGAAGGCCCAAAAACCATGTATTTTTTTGATCCCCATGAATGTTACCCTATTCTTTTAAAGTACTTTAAATCTTCAGTTACTCTTTAAAAATCAGTGTCATTTACAGACAAAAACATCAATGAAATTAGTTTTGTTCCTTATTTCCAGTAAGAAAATACTACATTTGTTCCAGTTCATGGGCTTTATGAAATACTGAATTTTAAGTGATCTGGTTTTGTCCATGTCCATTTGTTATTAACCAGACTATTTAAATGTCAAAATTGACCTTTAAAAAATACTTAGAGCTCTAAGCTACAATATATTTTATTTTATTTATCATCAAAGTAAGCATTCTCATATAATTACTCAGGAAAAAAAAATGCTTTTTGGACAGTGGACTTTAAGGCTAAAGTACAAATGTAGCTGAAGCTAATCCTTGTTTTATGTTCTTCAGTATGGCGATATCTACAACTTCCCCATTCATGCCTTTGACAAGGCCCTGGAACAGCAGGATGCCGAAACTGACTCCTCAGATGCAGAGGAAAAAGACGATGATGATGATGATGATGAAGTAAGCTTGTCTGTTTTGTCAAGCAGTAATCTTTAGGACTAGAACTATTTTTTATATAATTTGACAATATTATTTTCAGTTTCCTAACCAAAAGTACGTATTTTTTTTTCAATCTCTTTTATCATGAGATTACTTTGGTTTGGCAGTGGCTAATTTGTTTTCCAGGCACAGTCAACATGCTACTTATGCTTTATCAGTTTTAGTCTTATGAAAAGTTTTCTTGCAAGGTGACAAATGAAATATCGTTATCAGCTGTTAAACTGAAATAAACAAAATATTTAATCTGGTAATATAGGAGAGGCGTTTCATAGTATTTTTAGGTAAAGGGCAGATTTAGCAAGTAGATGCTTAACCACATGGTATAGGTACATAGGTATACTTTTCCTTTTAAACTGTATTTTTATTTGGAACTAAAATTTTAAGTTGAATTCAGAACTTTGTAAATTCTTCCAATATACTAATTTAATTTAAATGAGAATATTTTACCTCTAATGATTTAAATCAGGCATGAGAATTGATATTCCTAAACTTTTTAATCCAAAAGCATTAAGTCTGGAAAATTTGCTAAGTAGACTCTAATTGTTTTTATATATTTGTCAAAAATAAAACTAGATGGCTAAGTTGTAATTTCATTATGTCTTTTGAACCTAACAGTCTCGTTTTGTTTTAGGATATGGGAAAAAGAGAGTTTGTGGAAGATGATGAAGTGGATGAGAGTGACATAAGTGATTTTGAGGTGGGTTAAAATTAACCTTTGACCTTTATTCAAAAAAAATGGGGTTTTTGAACACACAGAGACAGATAAACTTGCTAGTTTGTTTTAAATTGAGAAGACAATGAAAGGAGTCTGGGGAATGAATGTGTCTTATTTTCTCCCTCATTATTAGGATATGGATAAACTGGATGTCAGCAGTGAAGACGATCAGGATGATAAATCCTCCTGTGAAGAAGAAAAAGCCCTTAATGCCAAACACAAAGGCAAAACACCCTTGAAAGGACCTTTGCAGAGAAAACGTGCCTACGTAGAGATAGAATATGAACAGGAGACTGAGCCTGTGGCCAAGGCCAAAACTACGTGATTTCCCTTCAGACATTTAAAAACAGGACTAAACATTTTGAACAACTTCTTTCGTTTGTCTTAAACACATATACACCTCCAGTTTTTGCTCTGTTTGTATTTGACACAACATTTGTGGGTTTTTTTGTTGTTGTTGTTAATATTTATGCCATTTATAGGGCAAGAAATCTGGGAGTGGAAGAAAGAACTTTGTTGTGAACAGAATATTTTTATAACATTGGCACATGTGTTAAAGTAACAGCTTGAGCCCAAGAAGTTTAACAGATGAATTTGTGGGTGTAAATATTTTTAAACTTTAAATGCTACTCAATCTGTTTTCTTGCTGTGTGCCCCCCCACTATATTTAGAAATGTCCAAACTTCTCCTTTTCCTATTAAAATAAATAAAAGAATAAAAGGAGGAAAAGGATCTTCAAAGTTATAATAGTGTAAAAATACCTCTTTCCTTAAATAATTCCATTTATACAACTGAAATAGAAAAAAGTCCTTTCCTCTTTAGGGAGGTGATAAAAATTTTAAGTTCCATGGAAGGGAGTGTCTTCAGAAGCCTGCCGCACTCTTATGATACAGTTCACCACTGTGCTGTCATCACAGCTTTGGGCAATTTTGGCCAGGAGACCCTGAATCATCAAAACAAAACAAAGATAGACATTTCTTAAGTTATTATTTTTCCCCCCATTTAGTCTTGTTTCTTTTTTTGTACCGTAGTTAGAGAAGGAAAGAATGGATGACACACACACATATCACAGGATAGGCTATTGGCATGCTGGGAAATGTCCTACTGGCCCATGAAAAAGCAGCTTAATGCTAACCAAGCCATATTAGATTCGATCTAGGATTTAAACTGCCTGAGACTAAAGAGCAGACATGAAATAAATGATGAAATACTAAATTGTACTATCTCTGAAACATTTTTAGGATATGAATTCCATTTTATGCTGCTTTATAGCTTTTAACAGAAGATTCCTAAGTCAAGAAATGAGGCAATAACATTTAAATATATATAAATGTAGCCACGAAGTGCTATGGCTTTAAGAAGTTAACTTTTGTGGACTGAGAGAACAAAGGAAGAGAATTCCCAGGTATTCACTTGACATATATAACTTGACAGTATAAATACAAACAAGAATTTGGAAAAACAGTTGTCCCTAAGAAACTGGGGAAAATTTCTGGTAGCTACATTACTTAATCTATGTTATTATTCCTTAGTGACTTTCAACCTGTTATTTCAGCTTTTTATCAGAGGACTACAACAGAACGTAAATTTTACAAACTCTTGACCATGATTCTTTTGTCTAAACTCTGTCCTAGCCGAGAGACATAGGATCCTCTTGCTTTCTGGTCTAAATGATTGTTTTAAAGGGGCAATAAGGAATTGATGAAGCTATTGATGATAAGACTCAAAGGGGGAAGACCTGTACCCTCTTGTTCACCTACAGCATGTAAATACTAGAGTACAATTGATCATAAGAATTACTTAAGGGTAATGAGGCCTAAATGAAAAGTTGCAGACTGTCCCTTACCTTCACCTGTCCTTGAGAACAGTGGTCCAGCAAAATCATGCAGTCTGTTGCCGCCTCTAACAAATCATTCTTGACAGGCTCCGGTGTGAGGCTTGAATCCCTTGCTACATCACATACCAGTTTCAAAAGCGCCTTCAGTAAGACCACAAGTCTACAGGAAATCCTGGAATCAAGAAGAAAAGCTGCATCAGAATATTAAAACCAAAAGAGAATACAAAGACCACGTAAGTTAAAGCCCGCATTTCATAAGTTGAGGAACTGACGTCAAAAAAGCACAAAGCTGGAAGCAGAACTAGAGCTCAAACTCCAGATGTCTTAACTTCAAGCCCCCTGAAACTTATTTTTACTGCATACTGCCCACATTCACAAACATGGCCTGCTTAAGAATACCTTGTGAATACAATGGATACCTGGTTTCCCTGTGAGGAGATAGTTCCGATGAAAGGAAGAATTCAAGCTTTTGGCTAGAGACCAGGAGGTGGTCCATAATCCTTAAAGTGTTATGCAGTCTTAGGCTTGGATGTTAAAAGCAAAGTAAGGGAAATAAGCTTGGCTTCAGGTACATTTGTGTCCATTTGAGTTTTCTGTCATTTAATTTCAGATCCTACCTTATTATCAGTTAAATCCAACATATTTACTTCTACTTGTTAGCCTTAGCTTTTATCTTCATGAAAAAGTTCTGGAAAACTGGTTATAGGCATACAAAATTGTGAATGTAATGTCACTGAACTGTACACTTAAAAATATTTAGCATATATTTTTACCACAATAAAAAAAATTCTCAATAAAATCTGAAAAATTTACAATGTGAAAATATGCATAGTAAACCGTACTTCCAGAAATGTGACTTGCAGAAGTTTGTATCCCTTGTTCTAAAAAGTTTTCCTATAATTTGTGTGCTGCTCCCCCTGACACACACCTTTCATCATTCAACACGCAATCCACTGTTTCCCACTCCCCAGGCCCCCTTCCCTTCCATACATGACATTTTCTACATCTCCCCCCCCCCCCCCCCGGCCAATGTGTGTGTTGATCTGTTACTTGGAATCTTGGTTTCTGCTCTTAAAAGCCTGACAGTCTTGATCCAATTTTATTTATCCATCTATTCATTCTATTCTATCCCACTCATTCTCCAGCTATTTGTGTACTTATACCATACATTGAGTAAACCGGTATATTCAGTATACCAAAGTAGTCTTCATCCTACTGGAGCTTATATTCTGAAAGGGAGAAAGATCAGTAAACAAATGCAATCTAGTTACAAATGTGACTAAGGGAAAAAGATTGTCATGAATAAGAAAATGAGAGAATACGGCTTAGAATATAAATGTTGAGGTACTGTACACTAGCTGAATTAAAACTTTCTTATTCCAAGCAAGAAAGCCTTTTGCTGATTTAACATCTTTGGATTCCAGTTTACCTCAAGTCTAAGTTGGAATGCTTTCTAAGCCATCATATCCTAAATTAACATTCTCCCAACCTTGCTTCTACAGATGTTAAATAACATCCTGTAAAGTGCTCCATTCTCAAGAAATGGTGAACAAGGGTGAACAAAGTTGAGCATGCCTTTATTATAGCACTCCTAAATGCCCTTTAAAATTCTAAAGTGATACATACTGGAAATAACTGCATATATTTTATCTTTTGAATGTTATTTTGTCCATTCAAAATCCAAAAGATGAGTAATTAGAGATATTCAAATATATGGCCTGTCCCCAATACTTTGTACTGAATATACACCTAGGTAAGTTCTAAAGAGAAAATTGGCTGAGCTAGGCTCCTCTTAACACACCTGGGTGTGTGCTGTTATACCTGGGCCAAGTATACTGCATGAGAAGCTTGAGGGTTTCTAATATCTTCAACCTTGCCTCTTCCTCTGGTCCATCATAAACCTCCAGATAACCAATGATGACTCGCTCCAGCCTCTTCAAGTGCCGGACACTTAAGATTCCCAACCTAAAAAAAGAGAGAATGTGACATCAAAGAGCTGAAGTCAAGTGTACAGCCAGACCAGCAGCGCAGGACTCACCTCTTCACAAAAGCTGGGAGGTTTCTTGCATAGGTCCTGCGTAAAAGCAGGCGGTGCTCTGGCTCCATGTAGGTCAGGACCTGCTGCAGCACCTCATCACAGTGTGTGCTGTGCCGAGCTCCATCTCCTGTCCAGTGCATGCCTTTTTCCAGGACAGGGAATAAATCCAGCAGACAGGGGAGCACAGCCTAGGGAGAGTAATGGGGAGGATCTAGAGTTCATCCATTTGCAGTCATAACACACTGATTTTTCTAGGAACTTCATCTATCACCCCTGGTGTCCACATCAAAGAACTCTAAAAGATTCTAATAACTATCAAGTGTAGTATATAGCATTTCATAGTTTTAAGCTTTTGTTACATTCCTTATCTCTGGGAATCTCAAGTTAATACCTTCTCCTCAGGACTATTATTGCTAACCTATAAAATGGAAAGAATGGCAGAGCTGGGATTTCAACCCAAATTGTAGGGCACAGCTAGGACTTTAATCCAAATTTTAGAAGCCTAATTCTATCATCACTGAGTTACTAAGTGGTATTTACATGTACTTATAATACAACTACTGCTGTGTAGAATCTACAATGGTTCTCACTGTCCAATTTAACCATACTCTGAAGTCTCAGGGTGTACAGCATTCCCTTTAGCTCTCCTGGGATCTCTGGTTTTTCTTAGATGGTGTGCGTTTTTTTTTTTGTTTTGTTTTGTTTTTTTAAACTACCATCAGAGCATAAGAGCCCCAACTTTTTGTCTTTTAGTACCTAAAATAACATTTTTTAAAAATGAAAGGTGGCAAAGTAGGGGTGGGAGAGGGAGAGCAGACAAAAGAAAGAAATGAGGTTATTTCTACCTTTAATTTTATAACTTGTTTTTTCTGTCTTAAAATGTTCTTCCTCTCTCCTAAAAAAACTCCTAAACATCCTTCATGAACAAGTATCATCTCCTTCCAAATCCTTCCAGCGCCACTCCCTGACCCCATCAAACCTGGTTAGTTGCTGGACACCTACTATATTTTATACAAAAATCTCTTTAAAAAAATTTATCACTGTGATATATATATATAGACAGTCATATATATTTACATAAATATTTCTCTAAAGAGTTTTTTTTTTTTAAAGATTGATTTATTTGTTTATACAAGCACTGGGTACAGTCAGAAGTGAGGAGGGTGAGAGAATTCACCAGAGCCAGAGCAGAAAGCAGAACAGGCAGACTGACGAAGTACACTGCTGAGAGGAGCAGCGGGCGGCAGGAGAGGTCTGCGTGCCACATGGTACCCTCGCCCGGTGGCCAGGGATCGAACCGGCGCTGCAGAGATTGTGGGTAGGTTCGCAACCCAGCGCTCAACCGCTGCGCCACTGGGAAGGCCCTAAAGAGTTTCTTAAAGCCAGAAACCCTGTGTGATTTATTTACCCTTTGAATCTAACACTTGCACATGGTAATTTCTCAATGTCTCCTGATGAAAGAGGAGACACTAAAATAGTCAACTATTTACACTAAAATAGTCAACATATAAGGAGTTTCAATTGTCTGTATGGCTATAAAGCAGCGTAGAAGGACATCTGAATAACTTTCAGACACCAAGTTGCCCCCAGTGATATCTAACTGGCTCAAATATAGACAAACACTGCCTTTTCTTTTTTTTTTTTTTTTTTATAGAGGCATGTTTTTTTTTATTTATTTATTTATTTGTTTGTTTGTTCGTTCGTTTATACATGCACTGGGTACAGTCAGAAGCGCGGGAGGGTGAGAGAATTCACCAGAGCCAGAGCGGGGAGCAGAGCAGGCAGAAGGACCGAAGTACACTGCTGAGGGGAGCAGCGGGCGGCAGGAGAGGTCTGCGTGCCATGTGGGACCCTCCTCCGGTGGCCGGGGAGCAGCCGGGGATCGAACCGGCGCGGCAGGCCGCGGGCAGCTTCGCAACCCAGCGCTCAACCGCTGCGCCACCGGGGAAGCCCGAAACACTGCCTTTTCCATGGAGACTCAGGAAGCCTGCTTGGTTCTGAGATACTGTCATGCATGTTATTTGCTACCTCTGTCTTTTCAGTTGGCGATGATTTATCATCATCCTCACCTCCTAAGAGAAAAAATGTCTCAACTATCTTACTCATATAATGCCACCTTCTCATATGTGAGAACTCAGAGCTGTGAACTAAAGTTACAATTACCTGAACGAGTAGGTGCTCCGGTGTGTAGAGGTGGTTGAAAAGGGCATGGTACAGGACCTGGGCCCTGTTATACTGGAGCAAATCAGCAGCTGGCTGCAATCAGACAAAATACACAATTAAAAGAAAAGTTTCCCAAGGTTGGCAAGATGCTGATGATTTTTTAAACTGAATTACGGGTCCATGGGATTTGTCAGACATCTCTATCTACTTCTCAATACATTTTTTTTTTTAAGATTTATTTTGCATACAAGAACTGCAGTACAGGCCAGAGGTGTGGGAGGGTAAGAGGATTCACCAGAGACAGAATGGGGAACAGAACAGGCAAATCAACTGAAATACACTGCTGAGGGGAGCAGCAGGTGAGTCAGGAAAGGTCTGCTGCGCCATGTGGGTTGCTCCCTGGCTGGGGATAGAACTCATGCTGTAGTGGCTGCGGTTAGCTTCATAGGCTGCGTCTTAACCCCTTGAGCCACCAGGGAGGCCCTTCTCTGTACATTTTTAAATCCCCAAACTAACTGTTATTTATAAAAACAAGTTTCCTTAAGGAATAGCTTGCACATTTGGGTATAATTCCTTTCAGTTTCTGATTTTTATTGCTCCTTGAAAGTCAACTATTAATAATTCAAGGTCTGGTTATTTAGTTTAACAAGACCTTTGCCTAATGTACATGATAACAGTCCAAGTTATATGTATATGTATTTGTATATCTTATATGTATATCTTATATGTATTTCCTATAGCATACAACCTCTAGTCAGCTGGTAAAGGGAAAATATAGAGAAAAATATAAATAATTGAAGTTAGTTACATAACAGTATTACTAGAAAGTCAGTTAACAATATATAAGCAAAGGCAAAAAAAGTGATACCATGAATGAGAACCAGCCATAATGACTAGTCTGTCCCATCAACACAAATCACAGAGCAGAGGCTGCTTACCACATTTAGCACAATGTGGTGGAGGCAGTGTATACCCAGGACTTTGTTTTCAGTCTGATAGTCGTCTGAGATGAGCAATGATGGAGGAAGTACCCTTTCCAGATACCGGTTCAGCCAAGGTCGAATGACTTGTTGCAGAGTCCATGAAAAGACATACTTGGTGGCAGGGTTATTCTTCCAGGATTCCCTAAACAGAAATGTGAAACCACATTCAGTCAGTGATGATGTTAACTAGCAAAGGAAACTAACCAGTTCCAGTGAAACAGTACCATCTAGACTTTGGGGGGTGTGGCTGGGGGTGTGGATTCCCACATAAGCTAATTCTTGATGTTTACATTTTAAAATTTAGATCAAAATAACTTATAGAACTTATACTAAATAGATTTGACAGTGAACCAGGGCTCTGGGTTTAAAGCTTATCCTATAATAAGCAGTGTTAGAAAACAGTTATGTAAAGGATCTGTTGTGATTATGGAGATGTATTTAGAAGGAAAAGTTACCAGTAAAGGAAATGTCTCCAATATTACTATTACAGTTATTCTAAGGGAGTCTGTGAATCAACATTTGAATAGCAATTTATAGTTTGAGTTTACACACATTACTCAAGTAAACTTCAAAATAGGTTATATCATCTTTACACAACCAGACAGGCTGAAAACTAAGTTTTAACTCCAAGTTCCTAGTGAAACTAAAAATGATATACACATTTTTTTTCTCACAACTACAAATGTACAAAGTACCCAGTGGAAACTTAAATTTATTTGAGCTAATTGCAATCCAAAGGGCTTTCATTTTTCACCCCCAATATTGCTTTCATATCTATTCTCCCTATCCAATAACCAGAGATGAGTTTCAAGAGCCGGCAACTGAAATTCAAAACACAAGTGTAAATCCTCTCCAAATCCATCTGCACCGAACTTAAGAACATTAAGGTAAATTAATGGGACCGAACGTGCAATTTACAAGGCAGCTATCGTGAGGGCTGGAAAAAGTACTGGAAAATGGAACCTGAAGCCCATGGTTCTCAAATGGAATTGGTCACTATTAATGAGCTCAGGGTATCACCTAATATAAACCACCAGCCTTCTCGGCCTTAAAAGATCTGCTCGCACGACACCCTCATCTTACTGATGAACAAACTCACTCCTGAGAGCTACTACTCCAAAACATCACACTTAAATTCAAATGGGCTGGCCTTCCCAGGCAGCAGGCTACTCACTTGCTCAGCTCGGGCTGGAGAAGCTCCAGGACCGTGCTAAGTGTCCCCTTCTCATCCTCGTTTTCCCCGCGAAGGAATCCTGCCACAGACCCACATTCCGCCACGCGAAGCAGTGAAGTCAGCACCTCCCCAGCCACGTCCCGAGAGCTCGGGCTGGTCCACGGTCGCTCCAAAGTGTGTGTGACGGCAAAAATATAGATGGGTGCTGCCAAGTGAGGGAGGCCCGTCTTCCAGGCGCGGCAATTCAAGGGATCCTTGGCAGCCTCGACCTTCCCCAACAGCTTAAGAAAGAGTGACCCAACTTCGGCCGCTCTCTCGGCCACTTCGGGGTGACGACCGCCCCTCCCGTCGGGCTCCCCGGGGGATGCAAACCTGGCCAGGGCTCTGGCCGCCTGCCCCAGCAGCTGCGGCGTGCCGCGGAGCGGGGTGTCGCTCCCCAAAAATAACCCGTTAAACTCTGCGGTTTCTAACAGAGCACTGAGGTCCTGCAGAGCTGTGTTTCTGGCTTTGCCCCGGCGGGACTCCGGGAGGGCAAGACGGTGCAAAATCTGGGAGAAGGCCTGTGCGAGCGCGGGGGGCAGCAGCTCCCCGCCGAGGGAGCCCTCGGGCGGCGGGGGTTCGTGGAAGCAGTCGAGCTCCATCCTCCAAGCGCGGCAGCCCGACCCGTCGCCCCCCGCGGACGAGGCTGGACGCCAGCAAGCATTCGCTAAAAAGGGCGGGAAGGATCACCCGAAGCTGGAATTCGCCCAAGGAACAGAACTTAAAACAAAACGGCGGGGCGCCTGGGGAGAGCAGGGGCGTCTAACCGGCGTAAGGTAAGGTGTCTGCAAAGAAAGAGGCCGGAAGGGAACTCCATGGGCGAAAAAGAACCTGAAACCTCCTGTCAGTGATGGGGAGAAGCTGACTTTCTGCAAGCCAAAATAACAAAAACCAAAGCGTTTTAGAACTGGACTCGAAAGCTCAGCACCGGCTCCGCCACGAGGACCGGCACCCTGGCCGCCCAACGGTTATGCAAATCAGGGCCCAGGAACGCCGTTGCCGCAAAGCACGAAGCTGGCTTCCGCCAACACTGCGGCAACGCGGGCCTCATTTCACGACCTAGTGCCGTAAAGCAAGCAAGCGCCTGCCAAAAGGTGGAGCGACGGCAGATATATTTGCATAGAACATAACCGCTCGTTAATTTTGCTTGTACTTTAGTTTATGTAGATAAAAACAGAACAGTATTGACGCGATATAGGTGATATTTTGGTATTATTATGGTTTTATGTGTTAAAGCTGATTTTATGTGCGCAATATCTGTCACCCTTTGTGTAAAGTCAGTGGGTCGTATTTGGCCCTTCTTTATTAAAAGCGCGCGCCGATCCTTTTCCGGTTCATAAGTGTGATGATTGGGTGCTCACGCGGCTGTGTGAGATGTGCCTCCCTTAAACCTTGTTACGACGTCGGCACATTACCCTTCTGACGTGAACCAGAAAAGGGTCTTTTAAGATTCTGGTCAGTGGGATGTTCCTTAGGTGTTAGCTGCTTACCTGTTTCAGGCCTACCTAGTTTTGCTTAAGAGGAGCTTACTCATACTTTACAAATGGTGGTTTGCCTTTTTTTTTTTTGATGATGTATTTTTTATGCATACAAGAGCTGGGGTGCAAGCCAGAGATGCAGGGGGTGAAAGAAGTCACCAGAGACCGAGTGGGGAGCAGAACGCGCAGACTGCTTAGGGGAGCAGCGGGCGTGTCGGGCGAGGTCTGCCGCGCCATGTGGGTAGCTCCCTGGCAGGCCGGAGATCGAACTCGTGCTGCAGAGGCTGCGGATTGCTTCACAGTGCGGTGCTTAACCCCTTGTACCACCAGGGAGGCCCTACAAATAGTGTTTAAATCGAATGTCCAGCTTCTTTATCTGGGGGCCGAGTGCTGCTCCCCTAGAGGCGGGTTGTGGGGCCCACCAAGTCCGGCACGCAGCGGTCCTGCACCGCCTGGCGCCCGGGGTGGGCGGGCCAGCGGCGCGCAGCGCCGGGTCTGAGCTGCAGGTGGCCCGTGTAGCAGCCCGGGGAGCGAGCGAGCTGGAGACTGCGGACTCGCTGGGGTACCGCGTCGCTCTTTGGGAGGGGCGCGTGGAGGGCGCAAAGGTCCTGTACAACCCCCTTGTTATGGCTGTCGGCGTTGTCCGTCTCACTGAGGATTCCAAGGGTGGGTTTGCAGGGACTAGTCGCAGTTCCTGGCCCTCCTCGGGAGTTTGCCGGTGACTCCGTTTGGCTACCACCGTGTCGTGGGAAGCTGGGCAGGCGACCTTCATTTGTGCCAAGGTGAGGGAGGGCGGGAACGCACACGGGCCTCGGATGCCGCGAGGGACCGGAGAGCCTGTTCGGCCACTTCTACAGGGACACTGGGGCCCGGGGGAGGGTGGGGAGGTGGGGAGGCCCACCTTGGAGAGAGCAGTACTTGCAGACATCCTGTCCGTTGTTGTCTCCCTTCGCGCCTCCCTTCCTCCTTCCCTCTCTTGTTCTGCGACGTTGGACGAAAAGTTCTTTGACCTCTTAGTACCTGAATTTCGTTAACAGTAAAATGTGCGTTGTAATAATCCCTACTCCTTAGGATCATTGGAGAAACTTATAGGAGTTAAACTTGCTTAGACTAATCTCCGGTCAGTGGTTAGTTGTATACAGCCCCTATTCTTGCTAAATCACAGCTGTATTAACTCATGTCCTCTCTTGGGGGAATTTTGTGTTCAGGGACCTTTCTTCTCTGCCTCTTCGTTTGTCGTTCCCTTCTCTGACCAGTTGGTGGCACTCATGATTTTCTGTAAGAAATTTGAAACATTGATAAAAACCGCTTTCTTTAGGGCCTCCCCGGTGGCGCAGCGGTTGAGCGCTGGGCTGCGAAGTAGCCTCTGCAGCGCTGGCTCCATCCCAGCGCTGGCCACCCGCGAGGGTCCCACATGGCGCACAGACCTCTCTTGCCGTGCCTGCTGCTCCCCTGAGCAGTGTATTTCGTCAGTCTGCCTGTTCTGTTCCCCGCTCTGTCTCTGGTGAATTCTCTCACCCTCCCGCGCTTCTGACAGTACCCAGTGCTTGTATAAATAAATAAATAAATCTTATATATAAAAAAAAAAACACGTTTTCTTTAGTAACGTCCACGTGGGAACAAGATGCCATGAGAGACTCTTCTCTGTCCCACATGCCCCTTGTGCTAAGTGGACCCAAGATCTCACCCCCTTATGAGCAAAGTCATTGTACCGTGGAAATCGGCACTCAGTTCCCTATGCCCAGAGACTGTTTCTTTATCCCCAATGCCGACAACAATTTAGTCATGTTGAGCCCACATGTCCATCCGCAGAAGACTGACTGACTAAACCATGGCATATCCACACAATAAAATTCTGTGCAGCTGTACAAAGGAATAAAGACAATCTCTGTGGAAGGTCACGAAGCTCCAAAACCTGTTATTAAGTGAGTAAAACAAGACGGAGACCAGATATGTCTTCCAAGAAAGGTGCTCACATACTGCTGATGGAAATGTAAAAATGCAGCTGTTACTGAAAACAGTGTGACAGTTTCTCAAGAAAATAATCACAAACTTAAACATCTTATCCAACAATTATTCCTAGGTTTACCTGCAAGAGAACTAAGAACATGCATTCCTGCAAGAACTTGGACACATAAGTTCACAGTAGCATTATTTCACAATAGCAAAAGTGAAACAACCAAAAACCTGCATGAATAAGCAAAATGTGGTATACTGGTATGTTGAAATATTATTCAGCCTTCAAGACGGAATGCAGTTCTGATATATGCTACAATGTGGATGAATCTTAAAAACATTATGATCCATGAAATAAGCCAACATAAAAGACTCCATTTACATGAAAAAGACAAAATTAGTGGAGAATTAAAAGTGACTGCTAACAGGTATGAGATTTCTGTATTTTTTAGAAGAATGTTCTGATATTAGCTATTAATGATGGTTGCCCAATCTTGTAAGTATACTAAAACCTGCTAAATTATATTCTTGAAAATGTCAAATCCTATGATACATGAATTAAATATCAAATTTAAAACTCATTTTAAAAATCATTGAGGACCCACAGACCTTTTCTTTACATGAGACAGATATTTAGATTAATTTTTTTCTCTGTTGGAAATTAAAACTGACAAACTTAAAATATCCATTTAGTTCTTTTTACAAAAAGCAACAATAAACCCATTACATATTAAATAGAAGCTTACTTTTATGAAAAATGACTAAAAAGAAGAGTGGCATCGTTGTGCAGTTTTGTAAGCAGATTTGTAAAGATGTCCAACTCTTGCGTCTGGTTCAATAGGAGACAGCTGGATTCTCAGATGCACTGTTGCAGTCAGTCAGTGTTGGAACACTCCATTGTAGATTCATGAGAGAATGACAATGAAAAAAACAGACAATATATTATTACAAAATTTATTTTGACCTGACAGATCTTCTGAAAAGGTCTTGGAAACCCTCAGCAGTCTCCAGATCACACCTGGAGAACCACTACTGGAAACACACACGAAAACTACCCAAGTGACATGAGATCTGGGATCCACTTTAAAATATTCCACAGAAGGGGTGATGGGAGTGACAGAGAGATGGGTGAGAAAGCACACAGACAATGTTGAATGTGGGTATTGGATCAGGAACGTTCTTTATATTAGTGTCTCTATTTTTAGTATAAGCCCAAGGTTTTCCATAATAAAAAAATGTTGTTTTTATATTTGATCAATGCTGGTTTAACTGAGCAAAAGACCTAGTTCTCCTTGATAGGAGGGATAGCCTAGCTAGGAAGTGGATTTGTAGACACAAAGGAAAATTAGATATAGTTCCTGTCTTCAACAAGTTTTCGTCTGCTAGGGCACAGGGAGGTAGTTGTGGTAAAGAGCTATAATGACGGCCTTTGAGACCTGATCTGTTACCTTTAACAAGCCCCAGAAACTCTGCAGGGCTTTACAGATGCTTCCTCCTCACAGTCACCCTCTGAGGCTGGTGTCATTACCTCTGTTCTGCAGATGAGGAGAAGCTCTGAGGCGCTAATGTCCATAATCTCGCAGCAGAGAGGGGTAGAGCTGAGATCTCAGCCAGGTTGACTCATACAGCCCATGCTCTTCACAGCTTGACCCTCCCTGGGTACACATTCCAGAAAGTCATTCTCATTGTCTACTCGTGGATGGCCCCTCAGCAGAGTCCCACTTGTGACCTAGCGGAGCCCTTAGCCTGTAGGAAAACTAGAAACATTGACTGGAGGGATCTTTATGCTGCACCTGACCCTCATTCAATCCCCGCAGTGTGCCTCATGGAATAGGCATTTTATCGATGTTTGCCTTCATCTCCTTGGCTCTTCCTCGCTCTAAGTGATTTTTTTTTAAAGATTTATTTATTTATGCATAGAAGAACTGGGGTATAGGCCAGAGGTGTGGGGGGTGAGAGGATTTGCCAGAGACAGAGTGGGGAACAGAATAGGCAGATTGAGCGAAATACACTGCTGAGGGGAGCAGCGGGCGAGCCAGGAGAGGTCTGCTGCGCCATATAGGTTTCTCCCTGGCTGGCTGGGGATCGAACTCGTGCTGCAGTGGCTGCAGTTAGCTCCACAGGTTGCATCTTAACCTCTTGCACCACCAGGGAGGCCCTTGCTCTAAGTGTTTTGGAAAGCAGTTGGCAACATCTCTTAAAAGAATAAATGAATTCCTTTATTTATTGTCCTCCTGAGACTATCAAATACCCGTATGTATGAGACATACAAATAACCGTATGTAAAGATATGTGTTGAAGACAGCAAGAATGAACAAGTAGGCTCATTGCATCACTGTTCATAGGGCAGAAACTGAGAACAAGTGGAAGTTCATCAATGGCAATTCCACACAGGGGAATTCTCCAGCCAGTTGTGAAAATAATGAGAGAAGTCAGAGGACTGGGAGGGGACTCTACACAGTATTGTCCAGAGGGGAATGCAAGACAGAGAAGTGTCGTGATCGCCTATTTCTAAGAAGATGCTTAAAAAGAAGAATGCAGGGTCTCCTGGTGGAGCAG